AACACAGTTTTTAAATCAAACCGTTGAACTTTTACACATTTTGTCAGGATACAACCATATGTCAAAGAGATTTTATTGTGATTTGTTATTTGCTTGACCAACATAGATAAGAATAAAGTTAAAGGAAAGCGACGATGTGAGGTTTGTTTGATCATATTACTGAATAAGGATCAAGGAACACACAGGTGAGATATAAATTTGCAGATAAATATAAAGCTGTATGTAGGTGATGCAGCAGACATCTGGAATTAGGTACTTATGTCAGATAAGAAATAAAAATTAAACATTTTGTCCTCCATACATATTACTAGGCTTATCAGAAAATTGACAGTGCACATCATCCTAAACGCAAGATCCCAAGTACCAAACAAGGCGGCAGCAACATGATGTTGTGGAAATGCTTATTTTCAGAGGGAACAAGGAAGCTGCACTGGGCAGAACTGCAAACCTCTCAGAGTTTGGAAAATATCTTGAGCATGTTGAAGAGAATCACAACACAAGGGTTTAAATCAAAGCATATTCTTGTGTTAGAATGGCCCAGTCAAAGTAACTTATTCAACAGAGAATCTGTGGGAAGACTACGAGTGCATTCACACCAGCCTTCTTTAATCCACTTTAATCAAACTTTAGTTTGTTTCTCTAGAATGTCCAGTGTGTGTGGGGGGAGGTGTGAATGCGTAATCAACTCTGGTCCGCCTAAAAAACCAGGTCTCGGCTCGGCTCAAGTGAACTCTGGTGCGATTTGTTTATGTGAATGCAAGTGGACCGGAGACCCCCTCCAAAACCAAGAAGTGAATTATAGGGCAGAGCATTCTGGATCAAAGTCAAAGATAACAAAAAAAGCAATATTACAACCGCTAAAATATTACACCACTCCATTTTTGTTTACATTTCGTGAAGAAGGCCAAGTTTTTCAATTAGCGCTTGGTTCATTTGACACAGTGCAAAGTGAAACTGAACTGCACCAGCTGAAAATGTAACAAATGCTGGTCTAATTTTGGACGTTCAGGTCTGAACACACCATTAAAACTGATGTTGACAGATGTTCTCCATTCAACCAGACTGAATTTGAGTCATTTCGCAAGTAGCAATGGCCAAAAGTTTCAGTTTCTACATGTGTAAACCTGGTAGAGAAAAAAAAAAACCAAAAGACCTGGAGGTGTACATGCTGTAAAAGCTAATTCCACAAAGCCCTGACTCATGTGGTGTGAAAACAAATGTTCACCAAACTTCTGATGGCAATGAAAGCTGTACAACAGATTATTACTTTGTACTGTGGTTGTAAAATGGCAAAACGTAGAAAAGCTTAACAGATAAGAACACTTTTGTAATAGACACATCTTTTACTGCGGCGCTGCAGGCCTTTTGCTCATCAGTAGGAGATGATGATCAGAATAGCAAAGAGAGAGAGAGAGAGAGAAGGGGACGAGTGGCAACAAATAAAACAAATACTGAACCCAGGACAGCTGCTAGGAGGGCTGTAGCTTAAAAAAGCTGCAGCACCCAACTTCAGCAACCTTTTTAAGAAATTTTCCCGGTTTGTTTTCTTTTTTCTCTTTTCAAACCTCTGCTGCAATGCATTCATTCAGGCAGAAGCATTTCTTTGACAAAGCCCTGGCGATGGGCTGTATTTGCTGAGCCGATTCAAAGGCTGAAAGCCAGCAGGCGGGAAAGAGGTGGCTACAATCTGCTACAGTACAGGCCCGGGTCACACTCACAAAGCGCCCTCGGCCTCGCACAAAAAAAGAAGCGAGCGCCTCTTATCGACAACAATGTGCCACTCATGTCTGATTTCCTTTCAAAGGCTCCCAACACTTGGTAGATTGCAACCGTTGCGCAATGACAAGACACATTCAGCAGAAATTCCTCCCCGGTGAGTGCTGGCACACACGTCCAGATAGAGAAAACGACGGTTTGCTAAAGGAAGAGTGAAAGAAAGAGGTGAGGAGAGAGTGAATGCAGAGGCCATTTGGAGGCCCCACAAAGGAAAAGCAGAAGAATGAGAGAGGAAGGCAGCGGAGGATGTCGTGTTGTGACAGATTATCGGGACAGAATAAGAAGGAGGGAAAGCGGCGGAGCGGGCCGCTTACTCACCGTCTGTGCAGGAAAACGATGACGATCAGAATGAGCAGCGTGACTACTCCTGCAACCACCCCAGCAAGGATAACAGCAGTCTTGTTGAGCTGACCTGCAAGAAAAATAAACCAGTGAGACGATTCCCAAACAAAGCCAGTAAGTTTTTCCTAGAGCGGTTTCTCCCTGCACCTTCAGACAGCGTCTCAAATTGTTCCTCCAAGCTGGAAACTCCTTGGTTGCCGTCATCACCCAGGGCCTGGACCTTGACCAGGTAGGCTGTGCCTGGTGAGAGATCGCTGATCTGCACAGAGTTTTTCTCCAGCTTCAGCACCACGTATGTAGTTACGTCGATTTTATTGTCCTACGAAAAACAGAAAAGTCCACCAACAGCCCCAGCGTTAAAGCAGCACCTATTAAAAAAAGCCTCTTTTTTTGTTAAGTAGTCATCAGAAACTCATTCAAATTGCACTCATGCAATTTGAATGAGTTTCAAATTGCATTCATGCTATTTGGAAATGCATTTTGCATAAAATGAAATGCATTTTGCATAAAATGAAATGCAAAATGCATTTCATTTTATGCATTTTATGCAAAATGCATTTTAATGAAATGCATTTTGTGTTTCATTAAAATGAAATGCAAAATGCATTTCTTAATAGCTTTAATCATGCCATGTGGACTAAATGTGAACATGAAGTTAAGCTCTTTAATGTTTGTGTGCTCTCACGGTCTATTAACCCTTGTGTGTGTGAGGACTGAGGCAAACGTAGAGGATTGTGGAAGATGATACAAGTTTCAAGTGTGTGGGGTCGGTTGGACCCCATTTCTGGAGACAAGGGTTAAAAAGTTTCCACACCTTTTTGCGGTAGGCGAGTTCGTAGCGGATTGGCTGGGACTGGACCCGTGGACGAGGGAAAACGTCCCAGGACAGAGACAAACTGGTGGAGTCCCGCTCGACCAGACGCATCGATGTAATTTTGGGCGGGTCTGAGGACGATACACAGAAGGAAAAAATTTAATTTTAAGATTCTAAAACGATAAAATGGACAATTCCCTCCCCCTCCCCAGGCCTCGTTCGGACCGCCGAGCCGTCAGTACCCCACAGATAGCATCAGCCATTACTGCGGCACAGATAGCATCGCAGCTCTGCTTCATGTCACCAGCACTCACCTGTGTAGTGAAGGGATGTGTTCAGCGCGGCAGAGGACTGCGGCTTGAAACTGCGCGGCATTGGTTGACTGGGAAACATGGACACGCCGCTGTGCACCTCCACAGTGAAGGTGTAGTTCAAGTAAGGATCCAGTTCACTCACTGACACCTTCGTGTCAAGCAAGCCCGTGTTTGCTGGGTCATAGCGAATTTTCTCTCCACAGGGCAGGTGCTGCGAGCCCTCCCAACGGTGGCACTCGACGCTGTAGGTGATGTCGCTTCGACCGCCGGTGTCTTCGGGGGGCTGCCAGGAGAGCAGGAGTTTTCCCGGAGTAAGAGAGTTGGGAGTGGCCACCAGACCTCGAGGTGCAGAAGGGAGGCCTGGCAGGGACAGAGCAGGAAAACATAGAATATGTAGTAGGTAGAAGACCAAAGACACTTTCTGAATACTCCTTGTTTCTCAACAGTTATGAACATAAATGCTATTTCAAATGAACTCATTTACTGATTTCATAATCATGAAAATGGCCAGAATACATTTTATTCCGGGCAAATCCAAAATTTAGTGTCAAAAGGAAATTACTTTTAGTAGAAATGTGTCTTTTCTCTCTTGTTGCTTCTAACAGCTGTCACAGTTCAATCAATTATAGTAGAAATGGCTAATGGATCCAACAGCCTCCGTCTGTATCTGCATCTACAGTAAAGAGTTGTCAGCAATGCAAACCAGAATCACTGAGCTGTTTGTTGTTTTAGTGTGTAGCTGCACTTGAATTGAATATATGATTGTGTAAATTGGAATCACGCCAATTTACTTCGCATATTGGAAACACGCCAACTTTGTGAAAAAATTCATGTTTTTTGATAAAATGTTTTTGCACTAGGTTGAGGTTGTTTTTCGGCTACATCGAAATGAATGTATTTTTGCTAAATTTCAATGGAAACGCTTTTTTTGCATCCCACAAGTCAACATGATCAACAACCAGAAAAAGACAAAGAAGACAACAGGAAGTGGTAGGAGGATGACGGCGCGGCATGTTCTTTAAAGTACTTATTGCATGAACAAACTTATTTGTGTGTGTGATTTTAATTGGGTTTCTCTTTTAATCGACAGTAGTGGACTACCACCAATGTTTTGCACACATTTGTAATGGACACGTTGCTAGTATCTGGCTGGCATAAACTTCTGTAGATTGCAATCAGCGGAAGTTTTCTCAGTGCTTCTCTACTTTTTAGTACAACTAGTAATTTATAGAAGTTAGCATTCATTTCTGCACAATTCTTACCTGAGCACGGTCCAGTCACGGGGTCTGTAAGAGCCCGGTAGAAGCCATCCATGCACACACAGAACAAAGACCTGGAGTCCTGGCTCTGGGTGTTGGCAGGACATGGTTCACACTTGTCCCTGGACGCCTCAGCTTTGAAGAAGCCTGGCTGACACTCTGCAAGGAGAAAAAGACATTCACCGCAGATGATCAGCCAAAGGAGACAATAGGGACTTCTGGCAGCATCCTAAATGGCACAGAGCAAAGCAAGTTTCTCCAGATTGTTCAAGCCTCTTTGAAATGCTTTGAACTTTTGACCCCTGAGAGCAACATGTAGAGGTCGAGGGGACACTTAATTGTGTCATGGCTAAATACTACATTTAGGCAGGTGATAGAGAGATGTAGAGGTGGGGAACAAGGCAGGAGGAGTCTGCACAGTGTTCAGACCACTCAGTAGAACTCTGGTCATTACAAATAAAATGATCCTCATTTGAGCCAAAAACTGAAACACAATCACACAGCTCCTACCATGCTGCTACTCATACTCTCAACTTTTCCACACACTTTTATCTCTTCCGTTGCTTCTGTCTTACTGTCTCTGACTCAAGAAACTCAACCAGTATTCCGACATTCCGAAACTCTAAGTCAGTTTTTCATAACTACAGAAGAAAAGGTGCGAGAGCAACCAGACCAACAGTGCTATTTGGCACCCAGCAGTCTATTATATTTCTTTCTCTCAGAGACCCACACGGATACTTTGAAACGGCATCGCCTAGATAAGGTGACATCTAATTTCACACTTTGAATTCTAAATAAAGAAATGCAGGTAGGATGCCCAGCTGTGCAAGGAAATGTCGAAATATGAAATTAATACGGTGTGAAATTTGGTTTGAGAGCGCACCGTCAAGGAGGGTGAAATTGAGACGGCTGCCCTTTAACTCCGCGAGAGCATTCCTGGGGCTGCTGCTCACACCATAGGGTGATCATAAAACCACGCACGCACACACGCCCGTGTATGCAATGCTCACATGAACCCACAGTCGTGTGCATGAAGAAAATACACAGACATGTATGCAAAGCACACTACTGGACACAATGTGGCATCAGGAGAGGGATTAGGTCCACAGCCTGTCACCTGTTCATGTCCCTCTGCTGATTCAGTTCAGCTACACACATAATGCATATACACACACACACACACACACACACACACACACACACATTTCAATGCCAGGGAACACTGCAGTTAAATGAACATGCATCAGAGGAAACAGACGCTGGAATTTGAGAAAACTGCAGTAAAAGAGAGATTAGGCGCTGTAGGGACAGATCGTGTTGGCAAAATGAAATGAGGCCTTCACACTGATACAGCAGTGACACTGACTGGGAAAAGCATTGAGACAGTCAGTGATAAGCAAAGAAGGTCAGATTCCTGAAGAGGCTAATTGGAAAAAAAAGAAGAAAAAAAAGGCAGCGCCAAGACTAAGACAATATCAGACTCGCGCCGAGATAAAGTCTAGCTTGCCCTTCGGCTCGTCTTGCTCGGGGGAAGCTCATTTGAAAGCCACAAGTGACCACATGGGAGACGGAAAGCACATGGCTCCGGCTCCATTTGAGTCATATCAAGGGGATTTAGCTGATTGACCATGAGCCTTGCTTCAACTTTGCTCGGCTTTTTATAAACTTGCGGCTCACCGAGCTGACGCAGAGCATATGTGAGGAGGTGTGTTATCTAAAGGGCCTGACAACAATTGTGGCAAGAGAAATCACTCTGCACAAAGAAGGGTATGGATCTTTGGCCAATAGGACTGCACCGAGTTTAGTCCTGCCTCTCTCTACAGCATCTCCGTTCTATCTTGGGCAGCTGTTTCACTTATAAATACGACTACTCATTAACGCAGACGGGACAGAAGACAGGCAAGGCAGGAGAGAGGCGGGAAGTAGTGACAGAAGGGCTAAGAAAGGAAGAGGGGGATACTGTATCCTGCTGAGGGCTGAAGAAAGAAAGGAGACATGCCGGGACGAACTCTTGGTCTGAGGAGGGGGAACAGCTGTTGCCCAAAACCCTGATTCATTTCCCTACCTCTCCTTCTATGTAATCCCCAAATTCCTTGCTCTCCTGCTTTCTCTCCTCCCAGCTAACCCATTAAGATTGCTATTCACCACTGACCAGCAGGCAAGGAGAATGCCATGCCATTCAAAAGCTGAAAGGAAAAAACACACAGACACAGGCGTTGCAGATGGGAATAGCTGAAATGCCACATGGCATCTGAATAGAGGAGGACTCGCCTCTATTTGGTGTTACAGTGCAAGCTGCAATGCATCGTGGTCAGGCCTGTGGAGATGATGGCCTTACACTGTGTGTCGCCTCTATAATCAAGACGCATTCCAGTGCACACCACCCAATGGGAGGCCTGGAACTGCATAGCTTGAGCTCTAGCCAACCTTTTGGCGGTAAAGGTGAATGGGTTTGTGTACCTCAAATATTCCAAATATGAGTCACAGCGACAGTACAGCTGGGGTATTTAACGAGAGGATTCCTCGACAAAAAAGAAAAGTCTGAGGAAAGCGAGCTTCCTTGTTCCACAGAGAAGGTCGAGGGGAGCTTTGGATTGTTACTGGACACAACAGGAAACAGGAAGTGTGCGGCTGACGCTGCCTTCCTTCCTAAAGCAGCCAATCAAAGCATGGGGGCACGAGGTAGCACGAGCAACAGAGTAACCAGAACTGAGGCGAAGAGTCGTGAAGCAGAATAATAACCAAAAAGGAAGCTGAAATGTGTTGACACAACACGAACACAGGCACAAATACCCTAAAAGGGTTTACTGAGACGATGGCACTCATAAACAAAAAGTGCCTGGGCTTCTTTGGAGTTGAGAAATTTGACAAAGTAAGAGTGGCCCTTTCTTCCCCTCCCACTTGCTACAAACAAGGAACTGTTTGTCATGTTAGGGGCCCTGTGTGCCTTGAGTGGCCCGTGTTTGTTTATACAGAACGAGTGCAAGGGCCTGTTGCGTTCAGGGAGCCGGAGTGGCTCTAGAGCCTCTGAGGGCTCACCGGCGCGTCGGCAGAACTTAAGACAGATGAGACGCCGACAGTGATGAATGCCCGGTCGTATAGATGGATGAATGGGTAACATGGTGGCTTGACAACAGAAATCGGCCCCGGGACATGACGAATAAGTCGAATGGGGAGGGAGAGCGATGGGGGCTGACAACTGAGTGCGGCACTGAGCTTTTTAGAAGGCAGAAAGGTCGTGTCTGCCTGAGGGTGAGTTAAACTGTGCGTGGCTTTACACAGAGTCATTGGCCAAGTAAAACAAACACATGCTCACACCGACGAGAAGGAAAGGGAGAAAGGTTAGACTCAGAGGAATGGCCAGCGAGCAAAGGAGATCTTGTAAAAATAAAGCCAAGCGAGAAGTAAACAGTGTCAGATCTGTATCAGGGCAGCTCTCTGGTCATTTCTGGGGGGCAAAAGAGCCTGGCTTTGTCCTTGCCCTCATTTATTTCACTTCCTCTCTTTTCATCTCCAAACTGCACAAACCCTGCGTGAAACGGCGATATGTCATGTCTGTGTGTTTATATGCAGGGTGACAACAAGTAATTAGCAATCCGGGGGTACCTGGATTGAGGGAACAGAGGGGGCCTCTGATGGGGGAGGAGGCCTGGGTAACATGAGCCAGAGGTCACAGAGGTAGAGCAGGGGAGGCGGGGGGCAGACAAGGAGCCATAAAGGTGTAGGGGCTGATGTGTGGGCATGTGGGCTCAGGAGGGGGGTTGAAGGCATTAGTGAAAAAGATTAGCTGACCAATGGAGCAGCTGTGAAGGCATTACATCTGTTTTACAATTGCACCCAAGCTTTCATCTGGGGTTGTTAACAAACACAATAAATTCCCTGATCCCCTTTCACCTCTCACTCTCTACGTTTCCTCGCACTCAGTAACAGGAAGAGAGGTACACAGAGTGCAGACTGGAGACGAGGAGCTTTAAAATCGTTGCTGGAAGGGTCTGATGAAGCCAACCCGTGTTGACTCAGAGCTTCCAGAGGCCAGAGTTGTGCTGGTTTGCATCACTTCCAGACAACCAGGAGGAAAAGGCAACACCGTCTCACCACACCTCCCCGAGCCAACAGGCTGAAAGCCGACAGCCATCGACTTCCTGGCCAGGGGAAGTGACCAGAACAGGACCAAATGCACCAATAAACAAAACGACTTATCAGGCAGGACAACAAAATGAAAAGCAGCTGAGTGAGGCCGCGGCGTTGAGCGACAATGAAAAACCCTGAGCCCACGGGTCGGGGAGTCACTGAGGGATTAGGTGACCTCCGGTTTCCGCTGAGGCCTCGTCCTGTTAGCAGTGAACGGTGGGTGGGTGTATTTGCTGGGCTGCGCTGGGGGGCATGACTGACTGATTGCTGGGAAGGAAAGTGCTGACCTCACACACCGGCAGTACAATACAAAGCGCTTCACATTGCTCTGCACTCCCCCCCACCAAAACACTCACACACATACATAAACACAGCCTTCAGGCTCAGGAATGTCACCAAGAGGAAATATGTCCCGACTTCCACACATGCACGCATGAAGGCTAAAAATGGTTAATGCTTAACTTTTAAAGTAAGGTGGAGGCTGTAGCTTCAATGGAGCAGATGGCATAAAAACTACAAAAACTAGAACAATAAAAGGTAGGGTTAGGGTTAGGGTATTTAGTGCACTAAGCACTCAGTAACTACTATTTAATTTACTGCGCATTTATTTTACATTTTTGCTGATTTCCAGATGTCTACGTATAAAAATGTAAAAAAATTTCAAAAATAAAATTATTACTTACATTATTTAAGCCTAAGTTCTAATTATTCCATTTAATTTTGAAGAGCAATCAGATAATGTTTTTTACATTTTCATGCCAAATGGTTGTATTTTTAATTAAGGTAATAATAGTGTAAACCTTTTACTCCAGTCTGTGAATTTTGACGTACTGTGTTGCACATTAAAGTGGTATTTCAGCAGCGTAAGGCCTGCAGGGGAAGGTGAGGGGAGTTGAGGCTACCACAAGCTTTTTGCCTCAAACTGCTACAATTTTATACACTGTAAAAAGTGTATAAAACTATACACTTTTTACATTTGCACTTATTTTACTGTTTCTGTGTGTTTCTATAGATTTTGGGTTTTTATC